CACCCATCCTGGGGTGGTCTCCTGGCTTTGCGGCCACTGGCTTGAGGGTGAAACAGCTCCCCTGTGCACAGCAGGGGCCTCGGGCCAAAACAGGCTGGCACCGGGGGTACCTCAGCACCGCCCCCCCCAGCAAGGGCCCTGAGAGCTTCGGCTGAGCATCCTTTGGCCCTCCTGCTGGGAGAGATTCGGCAGCTCTGCTTTATCTTACTGGCACTGCCTCCAACATGCATGCGCCCTGGCAGGGACAAGGGAGAGCCTGCGGCATCCCTCGGTCGCTGGATCCTGTTCTTCTCCTATCAACAAGAAGCTTCTCCCGAGGTGCAACCCGCATCGACCCTCCTGTCGCCCTGGTCCCGGGGGCACCACAGGGCAGGTCTTTGCCCCCTGTTCTGCTACAGCTCTTTGGGGATATGAAGAAGGACGACCATCTGCTTCGTGGCAGAAGAGCCTGATAAATGTCTCCTTCCCGGTGAAGCGATAAAGAAAGAAAAGCGAGCTCCGGGTTTCGCCCTCTCGTTCGCGCGCGCGCGCGCGCGCGCGCGTGTGTGTGTGTGTGCACAAGCCCTCACGCACACACCCGCATGTCATTCTGCCTAGCCGGAGCTCGGCACAAGCTAATGTAGTTACATCTTCGGCTCCTGGCATTTGTCTTCACTACCGGGACAAGCGCATTTGATCACCGTCCATCGGGGTAACATCACCCAGCGAGTAAATGTTATTACCCCAGATGCTCAGCACCGCCGCGCATGTCCCCCACCGCTTCTTCTGCACACAATCTGTCGCTGGCTCCCCGCCAACGCTCTGGTGCGGAGGGCTGGGAACAAGAGGGCTCTTCTTCGTTTTTTAAAGCAGAGGGCAACTCCTGGAAGTGTCTGCAGCCCCTGCGTTTGGCACGGACCCGCCAAACGTCACAGGGCAGGCGGAGGCCACGGCCACGGCCGCCGTTCCAAAAATGAATATTCCAGTCCGCGTGGGTGGAGGGGGAGAAATTCTGCCCTGGCGCTTGGCTCGGGCCGTTGTGGAACGCCCAAGCGGCATTCTGCCGACTAATCTGCAACGAGCAGCGTCCCTCGAGGGAGACGCACGGTCCCGTGTGTTTCAGTGGGGCCTGTGCGAGAGAACCACTCAGGATGCTGCACGGCGCCTGAGACTGCGGCATCTGTGTGCACAGCCAGCAAGGCAAGAGGCCTCAAAGGATCGGTCGGCCACGGCGGGTTAACGTGTTGTCTGAATGCAGCACTGTGTTGGGAGGGAGACGGGTGGCTGGTTTGGGTGGGTTGCCCATGGCTTGATGGCTGCCATTTTGGCTTGATGCGGCAACTGAACTCAGACACCATGCTAAGCCCTGGCCAAGCTGAAAATCGGGTCTCTTTGCCAGACTGGCGAAGAAGCGTTTCTGCCCTGGCCATGGAGCTCCGGCAGGCGACCGCCGGCAAGGCACAGCTGCCACCCGCTGTCCTGGGCTCCCACCCATGGCAGGGGGGGCTGGGATTGCTTAAGGTTCTTCCTGGCAAGAGCTAAGCCTTCGGAAGGGCCATTCCGCGTTTCGGAAACGGGAACGGAGACTGGGGCCGGGGCCGCCAAACAACGTGCAGAAGGAAGAGGCAGTTCAGAGGAGCGAGACAAGGATGATTCTATTCATTATTTTACTTTATGATTCGATTTCCAGGCTGCCCCACTAGCCACAAGGCTCCCTGAGCAGGTCGCAGACCACGAAAGCCTATAAAAGCCAATATGAAATATTTAAATACGGACACGTAACCCAGGGTCTGGACAATAAAGCCCTGCGAGGAGAGACAGAAAGAACTGGGCATGTTTAGCCTTGAGAAGAGAAGACTGAGGGGAGATTGGAAGGCACTTTTCAAATATAGGAATGGCTGTCCCAAGGAGGAAGGCTAGGATCTCTTCCCAATTGTTCCAGAGTGCAGGACATGGACAAGTGGCCCTAAATTCCGGGAAGCCAGAGTTCAGCCAGACATTTATTTAATTCGATTTATATCCTGCCTTTTTCCTACAAAGGGCTCAAGGCAGGTTACATCTCCTCCATCTTATCAGATATCAGGAAGAACTTCCTGACTTTGAGAGCAGCACGGCGGTGGAACCAACGCCCTGGGCAGGTGGTGGGCTCTCCCACACCGAAGGCATCCAGGATGCAGCTGGACAGCCCTCTGCTTTGAATGGGAGTCCAGCACTGGGTGGGGTGGGGGGTGCTGACAGGACCCTCCCCACTCTGCTATTCCGCTTCTAAGAAGAGGCCAGGCCGACTGACGCTCTAGAGGGCCATAGTGAAACCTCAGGAGGACCCGAGCTTCTACACCCCTGAAGCAAAGCCTTCAGATGCAGTGAGGCACCGTGAGATACACGTGCAAATCTTTTCCCCTCTGCAAGATGGAAAACAACAATCCAGTTTGCAGAAGGGAAATCTAAGATCTTCCATGCTCGTCTCACAGTTCCAGCCTTTCAGAAATCTCTAAACCAGAAGCACACGCCTCCCCCGCAAGTGCAATCAACCCAGCCTTCCACATAGCGAGGGGGACCTGCTGAAGGACTCGGCACACACGGACACACACACACACACACGCACGCCTCGGCGCTGTGCAGGCCAAAATGCCCGGCCACGCTGCTGACCTTGTGACCCCGCCAGGCCATGGTAGGAACGTGGGCTGTGCAGGCCAGCAAAATGGCAGCTGGGTAATAAGAACATCCCATTAAGTGCTAACAGGAGTTTTAAGTGTTGGTTTTATGACACGAAAATTAAAAGGTTGGGAATGGGCAACAGGCCCAACTCGCTGGGGCTGGGAAGCGATCCCAGGGAAAGGCAGCCGCTGGGGACGCGCCAGCTGGAAGGACGCGCCGTCTGTTAAAGGGACGGGCAGAAGGACAAAGCTTCCAGGCACTGCGAGCGGAGGCGAGTTCGGAAAGTTATTATTATACCAGACAAACTGATTTGGAGTAGAGAGGGCTGGTCTTTTGAAAACGAGTCACGGGGGTCTCGACTCACAGGGCAAGCTGCCCTCACAGAATTCCTGGAAGTGAGAGGATGCTAGGACAGGAAACCATCCTCTTCCTCTGCCACTCGGAAAAGGATGTGCAAACTGCGTGGCCTGGAGTTACTTCACCCCCTTCCGAGGACAGCAATGCGCTTCGCTTTTCTCATTGCCTGGCTTTGGGTTGCTGCTGCCCCGACGGACTATCAATTGCTGAATTTTCCTCAGGATGGAAGATTAACTGAACGTGCATATTAAAGGACACAGCAGCTCACAAATTCATCAAAACAAATTGAAAATACAAAAAGCAACAAGGGAAGCATAAAGCAAGCTGCAAGAGATCGTTAAATGTTTAGCAGTTAACCTAAAAACCTGTATTGGTTCATGCAGGTTTGCCAACCTGGTGCCCTCCAGAGGCTAAGACTACAACTTTTAACATCACCAACTATACATATGCTGCCTGGGGTTGATGGGAGTTGTAGGCTGACATGATGGAAGTGCTGTGTTGAAGAAATCTGTTCTAGATGTCAGTCCTAAAGACAGGTTACCATTATTAGATCGATCGATCGATCGATCGATCGATCTATGTATAATTTCAAATTATATGCCGCTACAATAGCCCACAATTGGATGCTCTGAGTGGCTTACAAGACACTGAACACAACACAACCTTAAAAAAAACTATAGAAATGGAACATAAACATTAAAATCCCAAAATATAAAGAAACAAAGTACATCAAAATTTAAATAAAATTAGAGTTAAGGTAAAACTGTAGGACAGATATAGAGTCAAGTTAAAATCGAAATTTGATCCCAGAATCAATTATTAAAATGGCCGGAGAAAAGAAATGTCTTTGCCTGGTGCCAGAATTAAAACGGTGAAGGCGCCAGGCTCACTTCTCTGGGGAGCCTATTCCAAAGGGACAAAGCACCGAGAAGGCCCTTCTTCTAGCTGCCACCCCCCTGGGAGATGGTGCATTTATATCCCACCTTTTCTCCTCTTGCGAAGAACCTTCCCAACAACAACCCTGCGAGGTAGGCGAGGCTGAGAGCGAGTGGCCCTTGAGCTTCATGGCCAAGCGGGGGCTAGGAGCCGCATGCCCCAGGCCCCGGTCCAACCCTCCTGCCACCACACCCCCCACAGGCTCTCTGTAGTGTCCCCGAGAGGGTGCTGTCCTTACCTGGTGGAAGATGAGGGCCTGGCTGATGTAGCCCCAGCTGCTGCTGGGCGAGAGGTAGTGCAGCGCCACGAGAAGAACGACCATGAAGGCCACGCTGGCGGAGGCGTAGATGGGGCTGATGAGGAACACCATGACGATGCAGCCTGCGATGCCCAGGACACAGGTGTGCCACGTGAAATACTGGAACGTGGGCCTGCGGAAGGGGCACAGGGGCCGCGTTAGAAGGCGCGGATCCGCTTGGGGCCGTGCAGTTCCACAAAGGACGGGAACCTTCCCTCCCAGGCAGGCAATCCATGAAAGCAAGGCCTCTTCTCCAGAAGGCATTTCCCACCTGGGTGATAGGGAACCGTCTTGCTTGGGCTTTAACCGCCCTCTCCCGGGAGGCTCACAGCTGGTTAACAGCGTTTAAAGACAATGGATATGAAACACAATTACTTCTCTCCCAGAGGAGTCGTTCGGTGAATCCAGCAACTCATCTCCAACCACAAGATGCTTGAGGAAATAAAAGCATCCCAGGGTTCCTTCCGCAAGGCTGCTCAGGCGTTCCGAAAGGTATGCATGGCAGCTGCACAGGTACGCATTTTTCGGCACCGAAGCTTTTGCGTGCACGTTCTGGGCATCTCTAATTCACTGCGGGCTGCACGGTGCTCGCCCGGTGGAAACATGGGTAGAACTTTTTATTTAAACGTCATTTTAATTGTTAATATTATTTGCTTATTTTATCTGGCCAGGGCGACTTATTTTATATTGTTAATTTGTTGTATTTTTGAATGTTTTATATTTTACTTTTATGTTGTGAGCTGCCCCGAGGCTTCGGCGAATGGGGCGGCATAGAAATGTTTTAAATAAATAAATAAACAAACAAGCAATAAATAAACTTTAAGGCTATGGCGAACACTGGGTTGAGGAGGTAGAAACAAAGAACGCTTCATCTGGTGAATTTGTGCCATGGGGGGAAATGAAGACAACTGGAACTACCGTGGAAAAGTTCGCCTGCAAAGGGGGCTGGAGAGACTGCGAGCCGGCTGCCGCTGTGATCTGCCGGGGTGGCCAGCCGCCCATGCTGGACACGGAAGGAACCAGAGGACTGATCCCACAGAGCAAGTGTTCCAAAATGCACTTAAAAAAATTTCCTGACAGCAGGAGATGAGGTGATAGATGTTCTAGCCAGGGGTCAGACTAGATGCCCGGGAGACCCCTTCTGACTCGCTCTGTTTCTATGTTTCTTCACCCCTTGGATCCCAGCAGAAATTCAACAAGCACTGCAACAGCAAACTAGCAGATTTACCTGTTGGATTTCTGCCTGTCAAGCATCTTTTAAAAAGTATGCCCAAAAGGGAGCAAAAAGAAACAGAGATGGTGGAAAGCCAGTAATCCCAATGGTTAGATTGCTGTGTTTAGACATGGGAGAGAAAGAAAAGAGCAAGGTGGCCACTGGGCAGAAAACTCATCCATAAATCTGCCTGACATTATTCAGATAAAATGTCTTATACAGTCTTTTCTTTCAAAAAGGTGTTCTCTCAGCACAGGTATGGAAGACATGGGCTGACTTATGAAAGCAGGTGATTCTGTTCAGCGGAAACTTAGAAAACAGTGGCCTTATGTATGTATATTTATTTATTTTACTTTTATACTACCCAATGGCCAAGGGCTCCCTGGGTGGTAGATGAAAGTTAAAAGTTGAAGCATATAACAACAACCAAAATAAAATTGAATTAGTGACAGATTTTATTTTCCTGGGCTTCAAGACCACCGCAGATGGTGACTGCAGCCAAGAAATTAAAAGACGCTTGCTCCTGGGGAGGAAAGCTATGGCAAATCCTAAACAGCAGAGACATCACCCTGCCAACAAAAGTGTGTATAGTCAGGGCTATGGTTTTCCCAGTTGCAATGTATGGCTGTGAAAGCTGGACCATAAGGAAGGCTGAGCGCTGAAGGATTGTGGCCTTTGAATTGTGGTGCTGGAGGAGACTCCTGCGAGTCCCCTGGACCGCAAGGCAATCAAACCAGTCAGTCCTAGAGATCAACCCTGACTGCTCTTTAGAAGGCCAGGTACTGAAGATGAACCTCAAATACTTTGGCCACCTAATGAGAAGGAAGGACGCCCTGGAGAAGAGCCTGATGCTGGGAACAACTGAAGTCAAAAGAAGGAGACGGCAGAGGATGAGGTGGCTGGATGGGGTCACTGGGGCGGTGGGTGTGGGCTTGGGTGGACTCTGGGGGACGGTGGAGGACGGGAAGGCCTGGCGGAGTGTTGCCCATGGGGTTGCGATGGGTCGGACATGCCTTTGCGACCAGCAACAACAAACTCTGAATCGGGCCTGGACTTCAACTGGGAGCCAGTGCAGCTGCAAGAGGACTGCCGTGATCCGGTCTCATGGGCCAGACCTGTTACAGCCGCGCTGCCCTGCTTTGGATCAGTTCGAGTCTCCAGACCATTCTCAAGGGCAGCTCCACATGCAGCACACTGCAGTAGTCCAGGCAAGAAGTTCCCACAGCCCGGACATCTGCAGCCGGGCTCCGTCCATCCGGATGCTGTCGCAATTGATAAATCAGCCTGAACTGGTAAAAGGTGCTCCGGGCCATTGAGTCCACTTGTGACGTGAGGGATAGTTCTGGACCCCCAAACTATGAGCCTGGTCCCTTAGGGGACTGCAAACCTGTCCAGGACAGGTAGAATATCATCCAACCAAATACTGCATATTAATATCCAACCTGCCCCGGTCCAAGGAGATAAAGGGGGTAACGGCCTATTTGTACCCGAAATTCGAAACAACCGAGGCCCCTCAAATCTTAAAATGACAAAAATGTCACTCCCTTCAATCAAATTTGTATTTTAATCATGCAGCAACTTTGATAGGATCCTTTATCCCCATGGGATCCAGCTACACACCCAGCATTGTAAGAACACTAAAAATGCCGTTTCTATGGTTCGGTAAGTATTAAGATAATGCATGTTAAGACTTTTAGGCAGGAGCAGTGTTCCCTGAGCCCCCTGGATTCCCTGAGCCCCCTGGACTACAACCTCCACCATCCCCAGCCATCTAGGAGTTGCAGTCCAACACATCCAGGGGCATCAGCCTGGGGAAAGTCGGACTTGCCCAGTGCGTTGGCACTGCTCAACCTAACCTTCCTCCCAGACGGCCTGGAAGAATCAAATGGCACGAACTGATGGATGTAAGTGCCATTTCTAAAAAGCATTCCGCAAACTCCCATTTGGGAACAGTCCCGCTCCAACGTCTGCCCAGGTTGCTTATTTATCTACCCTCTGGGGCAAAGAATGCTCAAATAATCCAAGGGACTTGACGCCGGGCCCTTCCCAGGAAGGCTGCAGGCATTCCTGGTGTTGCCGGATCCCAAAACGCTTGGCTGCTTTTAATTCCAGACTCGGTTTTTAATTCCGCCTGGTGCTGGGGGGCGGCAGGGGGCACACGGCAGCCAAGGGGGCGATCCATTCTGCACAGACGGCCACAGGCGGGGCTCTGCATGACCGCGAGCTCGTCTCCGCTCGGAGGCAGGCGTGCCTGGCAGAGCGAGCCCCTGGCCCGGCCGGGGTGCCACTTGAGGGCCTTCTTTATACGACTTAATTAAATTGTTCTCATCTAACCCGCTGTCTTATCTGTATTGCTTAGCAAGATTTTAAAAAGGGCCGGAATGCTAATCACACACGGTGCCCTCCTGCTCTTCCTGCCTCTCTTGCATAACCAGAGCTGCAAAGACAGGAGCAAAGCTGTGAAAAGGAGGCCCATGAGCCGGGGGGGGGGGCTGGGGCGTGTGCGCCGTGGATGCTCTCGTGCGGCCGCTCAGAGCGGAGAAACGGGGCTGGGTGCAGATTAAACACCACCCCCTCCCGGGGCCTGGCAGCAGGCCAGAGCAGGCACTGTGGGCACTCTGGAGGATGCGGGTATCGGTGTGCCATTTATTTATTAGATTTCTCTCCCGCCCATTAGCCAAAATGGCGCTTGGGGAGGGTTACAAAGTATAGGAACGACAATAAACATAACAAACATGATAGAAATCAACAAATCTGTTGCAGCAATAAAATCACCGCAATCAAACACAGAAACGCCTCTGCAATCAATCCGCACCCTAACCTCAGTTTTACTAAAAGGCACAGAAGCACAAGATGGGATAAATACCATAAAATCTTTATAGGAATAAAATATTGGGTAAATATAAAGGTCTTTGCCTGGTACCAGAAAGGATAGAGAGAAGGTGCTGGGTGAACCTCTTTGGGAAGCTGGTTCCCGAGTTGGGGTGCCACCCCGGGAAGGCCCTTCTCCGTGTGGCCACTCTCCTTATTTCCTCGAGGGGGGGGGGATTGCTGAGCAGGACGTCAGATCTTAGTGCCCAGGTAGACTCATAAGGGAAGAGGTGCTCCTTTCGATCACCTGGCCCCAAACCGCTCAGGTCTTTCGATTTCGATTTGGGTACGCATGGGTACACTTCGATTTGAGTATGCATGCGGGCAGGCCGGCCTCTCTCGTGGGGTGGCGGCCAGGCAGTTTTTCCGGACAGAGGCAGCAGGGTTAAAAGCAGGGAAAGGTGGCACTGGGATTGGGGCGGACAGAAGATCCCGCTCCCTCCCACTCCGATAGCTTCTCTGGGGAAGCAGCTCTGGGGCCCCTGCACCCAATCTGGGAGTTCTGCAACCCAAAGAGAGCCTCGTATATTAAACAAAATAGCAAAATGTATCTACGGGGACGAGTTTGTCTGTGGAGGTTTTCCTCTACTCGGCAACGGGAGGGAAAATATTTCTGGTTGTGGCCCCACCTGCAAAATTCCCCATCTAGGCAGGCTAGCTTAGTGGCTATGTCACTTCCTTTATGGTGCTTTTATTCTTCTGCCTTGCTTATGTTTGGTGCTTTTAACAGCTTGCTTTTTTAATCTGGCCATTAAAATTATTTTATTCTTTTGTGCCTCATCACCTTTTATTATAATGCAAACCGTTGGGAAATGGATGAGTTCGTTTTTAAGCACAATAAAACCCAGAGACTGGAACTACTGTGGGAACAAAAGGTCAGACAGGTACCTGGATGCACAAAACCAGGAGCTGAAGTTCTGGGTCAGCTCTGAAGTTGCTCAGGTTGGCAGTCATTTTTCCATGTGCCTGCGCGGCCCCTTCCAGGTAAGGCCTTGGGGCTCGTCCGATGCCACGGGACAACTGCCGCAGTTGCCTGCCTGCACTGGAAG